ACGTTTTTTCTCCAGGTTGCGATCTCGTTGTAAGCATCTGTTATGACTGACATCGATATAACAATAGCATTACCATCGCTTCGTTTCCCCCAGTTGATCATAGATGGCTTGTAAATGGTATTATACTCTGGAAGGCATCCCGGGCTGTTTAAATGGTTTTCACCTTGCTCTTTCTGCTCTACGTCTCCTGGGATTTGTGGAGTACTAGCTATATGTAAATCTTGGTTTGATGAGGCTAACAGATTAGCATATTGTGATTCACTCCCTGTTTCTTCAAGAATAGAGAAATCTGTATTTATGGGAAAAGAAGTAAAGCCTGTCGAGTTTGCTCCGATTTGTGCATCCGTAGACACGATTCTTTGAGCGAGAACTCTTGAATTTGCATCCGTCTGTGCCTCCCACGATAGGTTTTCTGAGCTCTCTTCTAGCGTTTTCTCAAGTCTAGCTGCTTGATCTCGTAAGTTCTGGCTTGAGAGTCCTAGATCTCCATATCCTTTCGCATCCCATGCCAGAGCTCACTCATAATTCTGATATAGCCTTTTTTCCTCCCATTACCATCCAGCGGTGGTTGTTCCAATAGTGTCATAGCCACGTCCTCTCGTTTGCAACTTAGAAGATCGGCATTCATTTGTTCCGTCCATTTGCGTCTAGGTTTTAATTTTTCTTCGGTCAGTCATTCTTATAAATAATAATGCTGGCGATAATCGGAAACTTTTGGCTATAAACAATTCCAAAAAAAAAGCTGCTTTAAACATTTTAACAAATTATCTTTGCCTCCGAGAAAACGTGACCGTACCGTGATCGTACCGTAGTCGATACTCGAAAAAAGTGAGGCATTTGTCTACAATTGAATCAATTACTTTAACTTTCATTTATTTGATATCTTAATCTTCCCAAAAAGTTAGTTGGTCATAAAACTTTGAGTGAAGTATTGAGTTCTATTTCGCGATGATGGTAATTTCTTCCGCTTCTCCTTCTTCAAAGCAAAGACAAAAGTCCAGGAAGTTGTCATCAGCGAGCTTCTCTTTGCTGGCTATGCTGTTCTTTGTGCCTCATTTGAGGAGTAGCTTCAATAAATTCTAGCCTGTTTCTCTGAGTCATGCGAAGTGTTTGGTCTCATCAGTCTGAAGAAAACCATCGTTATGTCGCCAAATATGTCTCTAGAGGACGAGATATCCATAATACTTAGGAAAGTTTCTTTACAACTTTCAGTCGTCTACTGATAGTGTGTGGAAGAACAAGCATCTCACCACTAGAACCAAAGTATGAGTGTATAAAGCTTGCATACCGAGCATCTTGCCATATGGTGCTGAATGCTGGACCACATACAGACCTAAGGAATCATACCTTGGCGAGTTCCACACCAGATGTCTCAGATCTTTCCTTGGATGGGAGGATAAGATAACAAATGAAGAACTGTTCCGAATCACAAACTCTGGACTACTCTCTTCACAACTAAAACCAAAGCATGTCAGCGACTCGAAAGAAGGAACCAGACCTAGAGGGCGGCCTAGGCTCCGATTCAAAGACGTTCGGCAACGCGACCTAGTGGACTTAAGTATGAATCCAGTGTGATTTCCGATGTCCAAGAAAGCGGGGAACAGCTTTTCCCTATATGGACCTCCCGACTGCTGAGACATAGGTTATCATACGTACGACTGCGACCGCAAACCGAAAGAAAAAATTGGCTAAAACCGTCAAAACGCCAGACCCTCTGATTGAAAAAGTCACTCACATATCCTCATTTTATGAGACAATTAATATAGATTCTAACAGCTGCAGTTGCAGTTATCGCCTTTATTTTATTCATCTTGTTAAAATGATTTGATTAGAGTACACTCTAATAATTCAAACTCTTTTTATATATATTTGATTGTTTTAGACAGGGAAGAATTATTGTAGACGTATATGTAGCTTCTAAGACCTTTAAAAATGATTTTATGTGTCCTTAGCTTTAAAGTCGCGTGACTCTTTGTTTTTATAATTTCAAACACCTGAACCACGAGTCTTGGGCCTGAATACCAGGAAATCATCCCAAATTCTTGAAATATATAATGAAAAATAAATTATGAAATTTCTAGTTATGAAACTCAAACTAGCCGATTTAACAAATCTCCGAGTATAGAGTTGACAAAATTGTTACTTATATTTCCAAGCTGTCTTGCCATGGAAATAAACAATTCTAAAAATAATTACCAACTAATATCAAGTATTACTTAAACATCAATAAAAGGATTGAAGCCTAAATATCTAGAAATAACCGTATAATGGAAAACAATAGGGATCACTCTTGTGGACTGGGAAAAATATAATTTATGCTTCGCGTGAGGACATCATGTCCAAAGTGAACCTACATTTTTGCGTTTTTTTTTTTTTTTTTTAAATTATTTTATTTTTTTGGTTCTGGTTTGCTTTATTTTTTGTCGATGTTTAGGCCTGTGCTGTCATATAAGTTTCAAACGTGACGATAATTAAATGAAATATTTACAGCGCTGTCTCTCTAGCTTCTAATTTCCTCTAAATGGAGTCTGCGAAGCGGAAAATCATCGAACTCTAAACGGTTTCGATTTAATTGAAATAGTTGTGATACGCCTGCTCTTAGTTCTGGTATCCGCTGGGCGTAAATTATGGGATTTATCACAGAATTGGAAAGGAAGAGTGTTTGCATCATAATATCAACATGAAAGCTCACTTTTCCAGTTACTTTTGAAAAAAAATCATTGTTAAAACTAACTAGGCCTTGGTAGATCATGACTGGGAGACAAGTGAGCAAAGATCCCATAGTAACAAGAAACAAGGTATAGGTTAGTCTCCCTTCCCTCTGACCGGCTGCGTTATGATGCTGAGGGTGACGATTACAACGCACTTTGACAAATATACAGAGATAAGAAAGAAAAATGACAAAAAGAGCAGCGAAGAAATATGAGAAATAAACTTTATCCACAGGGATGAGATAGAGATAAAAGATTTGTTCAGTCAGTGTTAACCCTATCGCCAATAACCAAATGCCAGCAATAATAACTACATAAACCCTCCTATTAGCATGACGATGCCTGAATGGACAAACTGTTGCGTGTGCTCGTTCCAATGAAATAGCAGCGAGATTCAAAAGAGAGGCGACTGGAAAAATGAATAATACACCTCTTGTGTGATTCAGCCACTGGGTCTCCCAGTCGTACTTCCACAGGTTGCAAAACAATGCTATTCTATTTTCTATTCGCAAAGGTCCACTGAATGCACCGACCAAGAGATCGACGACGGCAAGATGGATGATCAAGTACGTACTCCGGCCCTGAAGCGCACGCTGCTTCACAAATACAATAATGGTGATGATATTTAGGATGACTATGGCCAGACATTCAGTGATGAACACTACAATCCAGGGAATGCAATGTGAGAGGGGACTGGGTTCCCATGCGCTGGAGACGTTTTGAGTATTGTTGCTGATCTTATCATCCATTTAGCTTCTGTTGACGTTTGCAAAACAAGGAATGACCTAAAAAATAATCGAGAAAAAGCTTTTAAGATTGGCTGAATGCAGGCATGTAGTGCTTCTTTTGGTGCAAAAATGTGAACAGCGGAAATAATTCCTTAGTCATTTTACTGAAAAGTTCTTCCGATAATTTGAAACCGGCTTGCCTTGTTCGACAAAACCGAAAATGAAACCAACACCTGTCTAAACTTTGACATATAAGTAAACTATTTCAGGGATGTTTATGAATAAAATGAGCTCGACGCTAACGTAAAAATCCAATGAAACATAGCCTTAAAGTGTGCGAGATACTAACGTAACAACGAAAAGAAAGGGAATCTTTTAAGTAAACGCGATATTAACTTAACAATCCCGTACCAACATCTAGTGAATGTTGAGTTCCAGATCTGCTAACGGATTAACTACATACAAACAAACCGACGGAATAGTTGAGTTTCAGGCGATAACATGAAATATTTTCTTTCGGCCGTGGTTGTGATCTTCAACTTACTGAGATACGCTCGTCTATACCTTGTGTCGCATGATATTGCAGTGTAATAATTCAGCAGGTTACAATTATTCCTTACCTTTTCCGCGCTTTAAAGGCCTTTAAATATATTTTATAAACAGTTATAAGCGTGCAGTTGGGTGAGTACTGCACCAAGATCTGAAATTTAGAATAAACAAAATACACAAATGTCCAAGAGATAGCGAAATATTACTTAACCTTAGAAAACATAAAGTAAGGTATGGTCAATAAAGAGGTCTTCACACGTAAGTGGCTATAATCGAAAATATTAAAGTTTGCCTTTTAAAATGCATGAGAGATTACCTTACTTACTCTCTTTATACGAAGAAGAGGTCCAGAAAAACTACTTTCCAGGCGAGTGTGGCTTAACTCACTCGCATCGTTAGAAATGCATCACGAATTAATTAACATAAATTACGCTGAAAGCAATATGAAAAAAATTTCTAAAGAGCGCAAATCATAGAGACTAGTTGAAATGAAAATATTATTGTGGTGTTAAACTACAAATTTTGTACAAATTTACTTACAGGTAGATGTTTTGCATGTCATATTTTGTCTAGCCGTCGCTGCATCAGGAAAACTTACTCTTATTTGCATTTGTTTTGCTTTGTTGTTGTCTTCGTCGTACTAATTTTATCGTGTCGTTAGCCTTTCGCCTTATGTGCTAGAACGGAAAAGAAAATTGTTGCAAAAAGGACTCATTTGTGATTTTGAGGCAGAGCTAATAATTTTAAACACGACTTTATGTCTAACTTACAGAGCTACTTGTACTTTCTGAGAGAGGATATTTGCATAAGAAAATATAATTTTCTGTTATTAGACCAGATGGTCATCGGTGAATTTCAAAAAGATTTCTGATAGCAAGAAAAATGGAAAGGAGCATTTATGGAAGTTTAAAGTTTAATGTCAACTGTATTTTCCAGAAATACTCGCGATAAAACTCGAAAAATAAAAACTTCAAAACTGCCTTGATTTTATAAACGCAAAGATAACGTGTCTTTTAACCCATGCAGTTTCGGATTTATTAAAGCCAGATGGTCTCAATGCTTTGCAAGCTGAAACAAAAATATAAAGTAATCAAACCGAACGACCAATATGCATGCGAAAATTTCTGAAGAACACCATAGTGGAGCTCGCAAACGTAGCCCCATAATTATACATAATTGTAGTAACCCATCAAGCCGAAAAAAATTGGATGTACGACCATACAAGGCGCTACTTTTAGCATGCGCGGCCAACTGTACCACGGGCACTATCTTATAATCAGTCTTCTAGACGGACACGGAGAAGTTGCGAATGAATATCCATTAATATTACCACGCACTTTATCCATAGTAAGGGCTTTAGTTTTGTTGAAGAGACGTGAGGGAAAAAAAAAATGCGAGCTTCGCTTTTAGGCTTTCCTAAATCTATATATTATTTTATTTCCATTGGGATTCTCATCTTCATTTCCATAATGCCCACCCCTCCCTTGATGTGCAGCAAAGATCAATTGTACAAAAATGCCACCAATCTTCCTTTGGTTGCACATTATTGTTTCCATGATAAGCAATTCTTCTTTTGTTGTTGTTAGGTTTTGTTTCTTTAGGATTGTGAGAGGGGAGGAGGGGAGGGAGGCTTGGCTCAGGATAACAACAACCCATAAGGCCGTAGGGTCCTATCGTTCATTGCTGACCCTTTTTACATGTAGGTGTTAAACTAAACATAATTAGCTAACTTCTTTCTCGCGAACAACAAGCCTATAAATAATACTTTGTTTCAATACTACGTGAAATTTGCCTGCGATCTCTCACCAGTGTCCATTGAAGGTTGAGTTCGAAATGTGATAGGAAAGTAACCAAACAGACCGATGGAAATTTTTTGATGAGTTTTACAGCTGTAGTTGTGACCTTCGGAGATAACAGTGCTTAAGGTCACATGAAATTTCATTGTATTCATTTTAATACGCGAAACAAATCTGTAGCTTACCTTTCCCGCGTCTTAGAGACCTTTTTACTGTAAGGTTATTAGCTTGCAGCTGAGTCAGTATCGCATCGGGATCTGAAATTCAGAAAAAAAAATATGCGAAAATCACCAAGAGGTAGATAAATACTGCCTCGCCTTTGAAAACATAAAGTCAGATACATTCAATTGAGTCAATTAACATTGAAGAGATTTTAACTTTAAGTGACAAATTCATTATATTTAAATTCGCCTTTTAAAAAAGCAAAGGAGATCATCTTACCAACTTTTTTAATGAATTAGAAAGTAAAAGCGATTGCAGGGCTTCCAATAGTCAGACTGGCTACTTGCCAGGAAAGCATGGAACCGAAAACCTTTTTGCCTTGTCATGATGGTGTCATGACTTAAGCAGCTGAAAGCATTGGTAAAACAGAATGTCCGTAGAGGGATTTTTGTTGAAAAGAGTAACAGCTCATTGTTTGACGGTTGACCAAATACAAAAATATTTAATATTAGAATTGCATTAAGTAAAAAACGCGAAGAATCACGTAAGGGATGCACGTTATTAAATCATCTTTCAGTATTGACTATCAACAAGTTCATGAGTCGAAATTTGAGTTTTTGGGGAGTTTTTTTCATTTAAAGGAAAAAGTTTAATTAATTTCTAACTGCACTAAATAGAGTTCAAACACAGGAAACGATGCAAATATCCCGCGATATTTAGACTGTTGGTTACATTGTACTTGAAAGTCCCCTCACGTCGGCTACGATAGACAGTGTCAAAGGAGAAACGAAAATGGACTGTGCCATTGTTCTTAGTTCAAAGCCCTCTGCTTTACAGTCCTCCTTTCCATCAATGCGCAAAAAGTCAATATCATCACCAAATTTAAATCAATTGATTATTCCCGATACTTGTCAAACGAATTGGTCAGTACTTTTATGAAACAGCCACAGTTAGTTTTCCTCTGGTTCGGGCCCCATTCACACCGGGGAGATTCCGTTCAGTTTTGAAAGTTTAATGTTTTGCAAACACATCGTTCTTAAAAGGCTCCATTTTTGAGAAAAAACAACGAAAGCGCAGACTTTTGAAAACGTTGATAAAAAAAAGTTTCATGTATTTTTTTCTTCCATGAGAGTTTTTCGGTTGTTTTAAGTCTGGATGCATCCATTTGTAAGCGTTTCCAAGAGCAATAAAAACACCCGAGGCACAGGCGACCCAAGCTCCATATGTGAGATGATCAGCTTGCGCAATAACAGTCATGGCGGAATTATAAGAGTTTGTATGGGAATATTTACGACCGCTTTAAGGAATTAAAAGATAGGTCAAATTCTCAATAAAAATACCTCACCTTACTTCCACGGCGTATTAATTGTTATCTGACCGCTTACTTTGATGAAAAGATCTCATTTTAACACCGCCTGTGCCCGAGGTAGCTAAAGAATATCATGTTTCATTTTGTTTGAATTGTAAACGGATATTTTCATAACATGCGACGTATTCTTTGAATCTATTAAAGGCTCATAAATAGGACAATATTTGGATGTACTTAATATTTCGTTCAGTTTTTGAATATGTAAATGTAATTTACCAATTTATGTCTAGAAATGCACGTAGTAACGAAAATGACAGATTTGACGAAATTTCGTCGAACCGGGTGAATGTTCGTGGATTGGACTATTTTCGCGAATTTTAGTCAAATTCGTGAAAGCGAAATCATTTAGGCGATTTTTACGCAAGTTGCATCATTAGGGACAGGCCTAACATGTTGGCGAATTTGACGATTTCTATGAAATTGGGTAAATTTGGTCAGTAGATATTTCCCTCGTTATCAATGAATGTTGCCCTAGCCCCGTGCGAAAGGGAAAGCAGTATGTTCTCCCTGGCTGTCAGAGCCTGTTAGGCAATGTATACAAAATATATTTTGCTCGTTCAAACAGCGTGATAGCCGAGTGGAACGGAAATCAATATATATTTCTCTTGTTCTAAAGCGTGTCGCCCGAGTGGAATGAAAAGCGACGATATATTTTCCTTGTTCTAAAACCGTGTTACTGGAGTGGAACAGAAAACAATATATATTTCCCTGACCTTCTAAATCGTGTTACCCGAGTGAAAGGGGAAAGCAATGTATATTTCCCTTTTCTTACACTGCGTGTTACTCGATAGAATGGGGAAAGCAATGTATATTTCCTTAGTTCAAAATATGCACAGGTATTACTGAGACACTTCCAAGGAATAAATGACATTTTAACACGAACAGGTTTTAATCATAAACCTTCACTGACTTCACTTTCGCCAAATTCGTCGTTTTTTTAGGGCCCTTCACGCCAGGTCATTTCAATTTGCTCGTATAATTTCGTCCACGACCTTAGCGAAATTTCATCACAATCATCAGTTTTGAAAAAATTCCTACAGAACGACAAATTTCGTAAAATTCGTTAAAATCGTCAACAAAATTTCGTCAAATTTGTCATTTTTGTTACTGCATGCATTTCGGGACATATCTTTAATTTATTGAAGAACATCGAGAGAGCTAAAAAACGTCTGCCCGTCTTAAAAACTTTTGAAATAAAGTAACCTGGATTAAAAGTTAACCCTGAGTTAGTGCTAATCAGCCTTCGAGCAACTGGGCCCAGCTAATTAAACTTATCCTTAGGCAACTTCATCCGGGTAGATTATAAGTTGTTATTTCTTGATTTAAACTGTTGCGCCTTTTAATGCAAATTAACCAGTTTCATTTCACATTAAATGTCAAGTAACGTCACGTAGACCTATTTAACTAGAAAAACTAACTTTCTATTTAATTTTGGTGTGTTGGTCGACTGTTTCCAGCTGGTTGATTATCAGTAGCTTATATTGAGATGAAGAAGGGTGTCCACATCCATATGGCAATTAGTTTTCTCAGCAAAACAAACACTGCAAGGAGTTCTTCTCTGACAGAAAAACCAAGGAAAAATAATGGTATCTCGATACCGCAAAGCAGTAAATACATAGATGTAGCTGGGTTCACAAACGGTAGGAACAAAAGACACATTGTTGAAACAATCATACAAAAAATATTCCCCCTCAACTCGTTAAAGAAAAAAAAGTTGGTTTCACATCACTTTGTTCTCCTATGTAGGTTGAGAAAGGGCACATCTAAAAATTCACGTAAAAGATAAATTGCATCGCCTCGACTTTTGAACTACTGTGGTTCCCTGTAGTTTTCGAATGTAAGAAAAAGATTAGCACAATTTCTGTTATCAATGATGTTACAAAATGCAAATGCAAATCACCCAAAAGCGGTTGAAATGATCGCGGAAGAAAATTAAGAACGATTTTAAAATTGCAAAGATTCACATTCATATTTATTTTAAAACAGATTCAAAACTCTCAAAACTCCCCATTTAATTTAGCAATAAAGAAAAATTCACCGTGCTTTTCTGACTGTGTTTCACCTATGTGTGCGTTTCAAAAAACAGAATTCAACTTTCAAGTTGAACTCACACATCCTTGGTGGGAAGTTTTAGAGTTTCAAAATTACATAGGAAAGTTTCAGTAAAAAAATCGCAAACAAGTCAAAAATACTAAAGAGATTTAAAAATGACTAACATTTTTTTATCTAGTTTGTTTCACAAAAGACGCATCACATACAGCCAAATCTTGAAAGCCTTTTCTTCTTCATTTCCAGGTCGTTTTGTGCGCTACGCAAAGCTGTCGAAACTGAATGGCTAACAATATCAGCAACAATACTCATAAGGCCTCCGGCCAACAAGATTGGATTCGAATTCCTCCCTCAGAGTGTATCCCATGGGCAATTGTACTCACTGCTGAATGTCTGGCTATAGTCATCCTAAATATCATCACCATTATTGTATTTGTGAAGCAGCGCGAACAACGGCGCCGGAGTACATACTTGATCATCCATCTGGCGATAGTTGATGTCCTCGCCGGGGCAGCCTCTGGACCTCTTCTTATAGAACATAGAATAGCAGAGTATTGTCATCTGTGGAAGTTCGATTTCAATGGGAATCCGAAGTTACTTCACCTAAAATCTGTTTTTGGATTTTTTCCAGTTATCTCGCTTATCAATCTCGCTGTTATTTCCTTAGAAAGACTACACGCAACATTTTTCCATTCAGGCATCTTTTAGTCAAGAAACAGGTATATATAATTGTGATCACTTTCATTTGGCTGACGATTGCAGGCATACAAGTACCAGAACAGCTGCGTCTTCTAAGCGACTTAAACTATTATATTTTATATTTTTCGTACTTCGTTATTCCACTTTGTGTAATTTTGTTTTCTTATATTAGTATCTTTGTAAAGGTCCGTTACGGTGGTCATCCACAAAAACCATGGTGCAGTTAGTCAGAGAGATAGAAAACTGACCCATACCCTCTTTCTCGTAACCCTCGCGTCGTTATTGACATGGTTTCCGGTGATGATATATCAATTTCTGCTTATTTTTGAAATTCAGTCAAATCTTTCTTGGCAGTCAGAGTTTCATATCGAGATGACGTGGCAAACCATCTACTTCGCAAACTCATTAATAAATCCGGTGATCTACGCCCAGCAGATGCCACGGTTTAGAACGACTTTATTACAACTATTCCACAGAAATGTAAGTCCCTCACACCCAGTCGAATTGCCGCTTCGGAATTTGTAAAGAAACTCGCAATACCTTCAATCATGTATCAAAAACTGCTTTATAATAAAAGAACAGTGCATAACGATTGAAGAGGAAAGATGGGCAGACACAATGACACTGACTAAAATGTTTAAGATGATTTCCCAATACCTTTAGCCAGCTAAGATTTTATTCAGCGTTCTACTTTAAGTTGAAGACAACGCTAAGCAGGATACAACTGTGATAATAATTATTATCGAACACACATCAAAAATTGTAATAAAATATTAAAATTTACTGTTTATACTTCATAGGGAGAAGTTAATAAAATCAGTTGATCACATCGCGTGATGAAGGCTGTGTCTTCCATTTGCATTAGAAGTGACTTCATCAGGAGGGCATAATTAGTTGCGAAAGGTTTTACGACGAGACAAATAGTGGCGGTTATAGTTTACCGGAAAGGATTAAGGGCGAGAATGTTTCCCAGGTAAATGAATATAGTGCTTTTTAGGATCTGCTCGATGTAATTGTCTTCAACTTTGAAAATTATGGAGATACTGGTTCGGTGAGATCACCGGCTCAAAATTCATTTCAATAAGAAGTCAACCGATGTAAGCTGGTGCCAGCGCTTCTCGAGTAACTTGTGTACGTGATGAAAGGATGAAAAAGATGTCCACGTCTGCTCCTGTAAGGCCGTGGGCGGGCATTTATTTAGTACCACAAAAAAAGAGGACACGTACACCAAGATATATTGATGTTTACAAAAAAAACAGGAAAATGAATAAAAACGTGATTGAAAATATTTCTTTTACAGTGGTTGTTATCGATTTTATCTTACGAGTCGCGACCCGTGACCCGCGACTACTAGCCAAACTCACGACACGTCATTGGTGATAGCAAGAAACACATTGACTCTTCGAAAACAACATCTCTCTTGGTTTGGACTAGGAAATTAGTTGAGAGAGGAACGAAAACAGACGGGCTAAAAAATTGGCAAGCAACTTGGCGCATGTCGGTTTGCATGCCATTTTTTGCACATTCTATTTTTTTTTTCGCGGGGAAAAATTTTTCGCTCTCCTGTTCGTCTCCCAGGAGAAGAAAAAAGGATAATAAAGGGCAAAAATAACAAATAAAAAAAGAAAAAAAAAAAAAAGAAAAAAATTTTTAAAAAATTATAAGAGGTACTTCCTTAGAGTTTCAACCCTTTCAATTCGAGTTAATCGGCCTAGAAATTTTGTTTTTGAAAAGCTGCCTTAAAGTTAACGGCCTGGCTGTATTTTCCATTCATATCAATTAATATTTTCATACATCCTACAGGATTTCAGGGTTACTTATTTCCCAGAGCGGAAAGATAATTCTTCACGCGGCAAATTAGCAACTCAAACTTGCAAAATAATAAGAGAAATTTTAAGAACGGAAACGACATTTCTATAACATTTAAGAAGTTTCACACTGAAAAAGAAGAGTACTTAACAGTTAGTGCCATCATTTTTACGATTGTTTTGAACTTTAAAATTAAACTTAATGAAACAATCCTAAAACTAACTAAATACGACTAAAAGTTCAACTTCAGTAGAGCATTACGCATTTCAATTTAAGCAAGAAGGCTGAACTATCTGCACCGAGCCCATTCGGTGATATTTGAAGTCGCTCCACTGAAACAAATTCCCCGTCCCTGTCAGGCACGATTTGGACATGCGCCTGATTTCTTGGTCTGAAATCATGTGATTCCAGATATTGACATCTGCCATTTCACCGATGAAACTTTGATGTTCTTCAAAGTCTCCTCCCAATTTGTCTTGATCCTGTCCAAGTACAAGGTGTCCACCTCCGCGGATCAATCGGCCTGTAATTAAGAGCAAGAATATGTCTCCATTCCTTCGCTAGTCGTGCTTTTAAACCAATTTGTGGAAAAGTAGTCGTTTTTTTTTTTTGATGTAAGTTTTTTTAAAGGTGTTTTAGTAATACAAGAGCAAACAATTTAAATAAAGTTGTAGTAAGTAAAACGTTTAATCTGCAAAATACTCGACTTGCCTGACGGCAAAATTTTGTGAATTAGTTTGATGTTCGATATTTTCTGAGTACACCTTACCTTTTGCTAATCCTGTACCATTAGCCCCCAAATAACCATCCTTGAACAATTTCCACGATCCAGCGGTATTCTCCCATGCTGCGCAGATGTGATGCCACTTTCCATCGTTGGCAGATAAACGGGTGTAACCACTATAATGAACATTGAAAGGATTTAAAGTTTTTCCTTAATAATCCATTTTGAAAAGGTTAAACAATTGATAAAGTAGTTGAAGATTATTGGTGTGATAGATTTTGAGTCTGGTGCGATAATTATTGAACCTGTATCCCTCTTCTATCTCTTTCTGCACGTAGAGAGGTGAAATGCTAAAATATCATCAAGCTCTGTCTGCAAGGCATTTGATACCACTTTCATGAGATGGTTTATTGTTAACCTCTCATAATTCTAAACCTCTCATGATTCTAAAACTCTCAAATTTCACTCGAAAGTCTATTCAGCCCATCAATTTGAGAAAATTTGATTGAAAAAAAGGCAACTGATGATCGTACGTTCACACCTCTCCCTTTATTCACTCATTACCACAAATGTTCAGACGTGATATAATTTGAGAAAGAAAAAGGCACAACTTTTAAGTCAACCATCGGCTTTGTCCAATAGCGCTTTTATTTTATGGATGATAAGTGTAAGGAAATAGCATTCAGGGCTCTGCCAATAGGATTAGCCAAATATGGTTCATTAAATAGCTCTGACAACATTTACTATTGCTGATTCACGATTCAAATAGTACAGGACGGGTTCTGCACATCATGCGCAGTGTATCGTTCCTATTCCCCAATGAAACCGTATTCTCGTACCTTCCAACTGATCGCACACTGAACCCAAAATCTCCGGGCCTGAATAACAACAGTTCGTTATCCGTTTCACTCACAGCATAGCTGAGAAGTGCTTCATAACTTCCTGTAGCATTAGTCTTTATCCACATACAAACTGTCACAGCTGTAAGGCTTGGCATTCCATGCGTGATGATTACGTAATCATTTTTACTCTTATATGGAAATAACAAAGAGTAGTTCGGGCTGACTGAAATCAATTGAAAGGAAATTTAGTGAGGAAATCGATTTTTTATAACCATCTTAACGGAATGTTCTACCCACTAGAAAAGTCTGAAGCTCTTCCCTTTAAGAATGAATAGTAACATATCACAGAATCAAGAATATTCCTTGTTACATCTAACATTCCAAGTGATTTCAAGACTAAAACTTGACACCCCATAAAGCTACGACAATTATAACTATAACAAGACGAGCGCAACTTATTTTTCAAAACACTAGACAATTTATCCGGTTAATATTACATGCACTTTGCAATTATTTCCAGGGCAACTTCAACGACACTTCATTAAAGGAACGAAACACCCACAAACGTGATAAAATTGCATATTCGATCTACAACGGGACTCGTAGTTTTTCAGTGATCCTGCAATACATAACAGATATGTCTGGAAGCATCTTGCGAATCACAACCCCACAACGTCCGAAAAACCAACAAATTGATGATTGCCTTTTGACATTCACTGACTAAAGGTAGATACACACAATCGAGATTAGGGATTCCAGTTCCTGGGCTTCCTGTAACATCAGAGAGGTTTGCAGGTACTTCAACGGGAGACTGACTGATCATAAACTACGCGATGATGTTAAAAATCAAATAGCTGAACGTCATCAACCTACAAACAACGCTATTGACTGGGACTTTGCCCAGTGCTTCATCTACATCTACATCTACACCTACATTCATCTACATCTACATCTTCATCATTAGATGATCTAACTACTTTTAATGACATACTTCGTCTCCGGTTTTCATTAAGGCTAATAAACATTTTTCAGGACTAACCTTACCCGAAAGACACTCTAAATAATTATCGAGTGAAACTCTTACCAAATTCACAAGTTGGCTGCACTCCCGTCCATGAACCGTTGTTCAGGCAGAGACGCTCTGAGGGTCCATTTAACCAGTAACTACGGTTACAACTGAATGAAATAAACTCCCCCGTGCAGTTTTTTTGATTGTGTGAAAAACCATTCTTCGGGTTTTTCAACAAAGGACAAATTTTCCTGACTGATAAATAGATACATGTAAATACATAGACGCATGAATATATATATGTCGATATAGATTAATAAAGGAAAACATAAATCTCTTGAGAAATGTTGTTAAGTTTCTCATCTCTGATTGTACCGTGATTATTTTTAGTTGATAGGCTAGCTAGGGTGATGCGAGTTTGCATAGGGCGGTAAAGCGAAATCAAGCAATCCTACATTGCTTACAACACACAAGTGAAAATTATTTTAAAGATACATACCTTGCATAGCCAATGCCTTTATCGTTTCAGATGTGTTCTTAAATTGCAAAGAGAGCTCTTCGATTGACTTAATCACGAAATCCAGTTTCCTTACGACACTTTTGTTAAACGAGTGAGGACTTGTGTACCACGCCTCGATTGTTTTGTTAATTAGAGCCAGTCTTCCTGAAGAAATTAAAAGACATAAACAAAGATCTTTCAATAATAAATGTGTGGGACATAAAACATATTAATTCATGGTGTGAATTTTCAAACAAATTTCGATTCTTATGGAATCAAAATGAATTTCACAATGAGATTACTGCTGTTTCCAAGTATCATTTCCAAGTTACACTGCCCTGCGTGATTGTAATTTTCACATAATTTGCAAAGTGGTAATGAAGGTTATCTGTGTAAGGAAAAGATATCTGGGATTTTCCAAGAACTGAGATTTTGACTCGCAAGTATATTTAAATGAAATTAAATCGAACTGTCAAATAAATCTTTTACACTTTTAAAAGTCTACTTCTAGGAAACAATACTGAATTTCTCGGGAGGTTCCCCACGTGTGTTGATAGAAGGTTTGTGTGGGGTACATTCGAAGAAATGAAGCCAAAGATCACCAAGTCATTCGCAAGCAAAGGTTAGATGCGATCGGATTGTGTTACATTACTTCCTTGAACATGCGTTAGATGCGTACTTTCCACTTGCATATTGGTAACATTTTTGCGCTTCAAATTGGCGTTTCACATCGTTTTTATATGACCTCTTTTCCGTGGAACCTGTCTTACGTGGTCATCCCCAGCCATTCTTCGTGGGTGACAACCTAATACAGGTTTAACTGTGTAGAAAATGATGTCATAAGGGAGGATTGGTGACTCAACGTCAACAGCCACAAGTAGGAGGAATGTTCATCATTGGGTCAGACTTGTTTTTCGTTTTGCATCTCCTTCGTTAAGAGAGAGGCCCAAGTTTCCTTCAGAGACCAATCACAAACCGCATTAAAGCAAAAGCTATACAACCCAAGTTGAAAATCAATGTAAATATGCATACCTTTCATTTCCAAAACACTCGTCCTTCCAGACATGTTCATAACATTCACGTTTACTAAATCCAGTTTTCTTTCCATATTTTTGCCCAGGGAATCGAAGCGTTTGGACAAAGCTTCAATGGCTTTGAACATTGAGTCCTGGTTATCTGTAGACAATCACGACAAAAAAAAACTAAAATGGCTGATTACACACATAAGTGGTGCAAAGAAAAATTGTGGCACATTGTAGACATTCAGCCATGTTCATGACATTCACGTTTACTAAATCCAGTTTTCTTTCCACATTTTTGCCCAGGGAATCGAAGCGTTTGGACAAAGCTTCAATGGCTTTGAACATTGAGTCCTGGTTATCTGTAGACAATCACGACAAAAAAAAGCTAAAATGGCTGATTACACTCGTAGGTGGTACAAAGACAAATTGTGGAACATTGTGGACATTCAGCCATTCTTCGTGGCTGATCACCTAATACAGGTGTAACATGGCCGGAAAATGATGTCACAAGGGAGGACTAGTGACTCACGTCAACAGCCACAAGAAGGAGAAATGTCCATTATTGAGTCAGACTTTTTTACGTTTTGCATCTCCTTGGTTGGGAGAGAGGCCCAAGTTTCCTTCATAGACCAATCACAAACCGCATTAAAGCAAAAGCAATACATCCCAAGTTGAAAATCAATGTAAATATGCATACCTTTCATTTCCAAAGTAGTCGTCCTTTCAGACATGTTCATAACATTCACGTTTACTAAATCCAGTTTTCTTTCCACATTTTTGCCCAGGGAATCGAAGCGTTTGGACAAAGCTTCAATGGCTTTGAACATTGAGTCCTGGTTATCTGTAGACAATCACGACAAAAAAAAACTAAAATGGCTGATTACACTCGTAGGTGGTACAAAGACAAATTGTGGAACATTGTGGACATTCAGCCATTCTTCGTGGCTGACCACCTAATACAGTTGTAACATGGCCGGAAAATGATGTCACAAGGGAGGATTGGTGACTCAACGTCAACAGCCACATGAAGGAGAAATGTCCATTATTGAGTCAGACTTTTTTACGTTTTGCATCTCCTTGGTTGGGAGAGAGGCCCAAGTTTCCTTCATAGACCAATCACAAACCGCATTAAAGCAAAAGTAATACATTCCAAGTTGAAAATCAATATAAATATACATACCTTTCATTTCCAAAGTAGTCGTCCTTTCAGACATGTTCATAACATTCACGTTTACTAAATCCAGTTTTCTTTCCATATTTGTGCCCAGGGAGTTGAGGCGTTTGGACAAAGCTTCAATAGCTTTGAACATTGAGTCCTGGTTATCTGTAGAAAATCGCGACAAAAAAAAGCTAAAATGGCTGATTACACACATAGGTGGTGCAAAGAAAAATTGTGGAACATTGTGGACATTCAGCCATTCTTCGTGGCTGACCACCTAATACAGGTGTAACATGGCCGGAAAATGATGTCACAAGGGAGGACTGGTGACTCAACGTCAACAGCCACAAGAAGGAGAAATGTTCATCAATGAGTCAGACTTGTTTCTCTTTTTGCATCTCCTTGGTTGAGAGAGAGGCCCAAGTTTCCTTCATAGACCAATCACAAACCGCATTAAAGCAAAAGCAATACAGCTCAAGTTGAAAATCAATGTAAATATGCATACCTTTCATTTCCAAAGCAGTCGTCCTTTCAGACATGTTCATAACATTCATGTTTACTAAATCGAGTTTTCTTTCCATATTTGTGTCCAGGGAGTCGAAGTGCTTGGACAAAGCTTCAATGGCTTTGAACATTGAGTCCTGGTTATCTGTAGACAATCACGACAAAAAAAAGAGCTAAAATGGCTGATTTTGGAAAAGAAAAATTGTGAAATTCAACCATCAAACCTTTTAGAAAAGGCTTCCGATAGCTTTGTTCACTTTCTTCAGTTTCTTCAAAGACATTAAGATGAGTAGCTGAAACAAGACACACGCTTATACACGACTTAATGCATACCTTGCATTTCTAAAGCAGTTGTCCACTGAGATGCGTTCTTGATATGGACATTTACTAAATCCAGTTTTCTTCCAATATTTACGTCCAGTGAGTCAAGACGTTTGGGCAATGTTTCAAAAGCTTTGTACATTGAGTCCATCTTTTCTGTAGACAATCACGACAAATAGAAAAGGATTTTTAAGACAAGCGATTACCCATTTAAGTGCCAGAGATAAAGGACAAACCGGGTTTCCCAGTGAGGATTCTAGCCCCTCCTATTGCGGCCCACATACTCCAGCAGCTGTAATGCAAACATTAAAGTTCTGTAAGGTTTTGTTAAATCGCCCAGTTTTCCCAAAGACGAGTTAACACATTTGACCTAAAACTGATTTCTTAAGGAAGGCTGGTTTACCAACTTAGAGCAGGCACATCTACATAGATGACAACAACGACCTCCACACCAGCTATGACCTTTTCACCAATCAAAACCGCATTAAAGAAACACCACCACAAGTTCTAAATATACATACCTTGAATTTCCAAGACCGTTGTCCTTTGAGATGTGTTCGTAACATTCAAATTTACGAGATCCTCTCCAATTTGTTTGTCTTGCCAGTCAAGGCGTTTGGAAAAAGCTTCGATGGCTTCGTTTATTGATTCCAGTTTTTCTATGGACAGCCATGATAAGTAAAGATGTTAAAAAAACTGACTGTTTATGAAGGACAAAGAAGAGAAAATGCAGGTCATCGTTAAGACGTTTCAAACGCAAGAAGCTTAAGAGAGGATGTCAGCATCCATCGCACAAATTTGAAATATTGTGGCGAGTCGCCCAAAATTGGATATCTCTCCTACTTTCATATTTTGTAGCCCAATATGGCGGGGGTAAACCTGAAATTTGCTCCAAAACTCAGATTTTTGTTTTTCTTAGAATTTGTAGCTTTAGGTATTTAATTTTACTATGGAAAAATAATCTCCTATTTATTTACATTATTTTTACCTTTTTAAGCGATCTAAAAATTCCCGCACTGGCTAATTACGTGGTTACCATGGCAACGAGAAAAGCATTTTTGTGATTTATGGGTAGTTTGGGCTGTTTTCTGGCAATCATGTTACAAACGGGCGGAATTAAATGAGACACTTTATGTAGTCTTATTTGAACAGTTTTTCTAAGGATAAAATCATTATGGGATATATGAACGTCAGTTTCAGTCGAATGCAACACTCATTTCACACAGAGCAATAAATCAGAGGTAAAGTTATCGAAAATGGTCGGAGAGAAAAGAAGATCTGTCTACGGGACAGATGGACCCATGTTTTTCAACATGTTCCTCAATGACCTCATCTTTCACATTAAGTCTGTAAAACTAAACACTTATGCTGATGACTGCCAACTGCACACATCTGACGTAGACCCAGTAGCCTTGGAACAGCGGATCAATCATGATGTACAAATAGCAAACAAATGGTTCGAAGACAATGGGATGAAAGCCAACCCCGCTAAACACCAAGGGATGGTTCTTGGCAAAACCGATTACCCTTTCTCCTTCTCAACCACAAGATGCCTGGAACTTTTTGGAATAATTCTTGATAATGAACTTAATTTCAAGGAACACATATCCTCTGTATGTAAAAAAATAAATAATCAGTTCAGTGTCTTCAAAAGATTTGGCAAACTTATTTCTACCGAAATTATGCTTCGCCTTTATAAAACGTTTATGTTACCCCATTTTCACTACTGTTCAATGATATGGCACTTTTGTAATTCAGAGGACTCTGTTAAACTGGACACCTTAAATAGACGTATTTTAAGATTTGTTTTAAAGGACTGGGACTCGAACTATGATGATCTTTTAGACAAGGCAGGTGTGTGTGGTTTAGCCAACAGGAGGATACAAAATATGATGATTTGTATATTCAACTGTCTCCATCTTGGTAAATATCCGTGCTATTTGAAACAACTGATCAAGCTAAGATCTACTGCTTACTCCCTAAGGGGCACCAATATTTTATCACTTCCTAAGCCGTTTACAACCACATATGGTCTAAATTCTTTTAGCTATTCATCTGTTAAGTACTGGAACTCCCTCCCTGACCACTTTAGAAAGACTGTAGATTATAGTGAATTTAAGCGCAAACTGTTAGTGCACGGTTTCTGTTAATATTACATTAATATTACATTATATTATTATATTAATGATTATTATATTATTATATTATTATATTATGAATTTTTTTTTCTCTTTATAGCCTTGTTCTTGCTGTAACTTTTAAAATTAGTAATTAGGATCGGAGATACTAGCTTGTAAGCTACACTGAAATCCGAGGATAAATAAAACTTATGTATGTATGTATGTATGTATGTACGGGAAGAAAAGAAAGATAATTTTTTCTGGAAGGCGAAAACAGGAAGAAGAGCCTGAAGAAACCGCTCCTGTTGTTGACGAAATCGCCTCCTCAACTCCTACCACCTCACGAGATGAAAATCAGCTCTCTGACTTGGATTCTAAAGAAACTGTTGGTTCTTCCAGAAAGAAAATTAAATATGCCGACGAGGAGCTTCTTTCAGACAGCTTTGATGATGAGTACACCTTCAATACCGAGGAAAGCGAGGGATATAGATTGATAGATGTGAAGAATTTATCCACGACGGTCTCAAAGGCGCATATGCGTGAGAAAGGTGAGAATTTTTTACTGTGATACCTGTGGTAGCCCAGTCATAAATGCCTTTGTTTTTTTCTGGGATACCTGTGGTAGCCCAGTCATAAAATGCCTTTGTTTTTTTGTCGTTTTTTTTTTCCTCCGCCACAAAATGGAAAAATTGCGCAATAGTACCCTGTGGTCATTGGGCCCTCAACACCATGATAACTAACTGTGATCCAATGAGGTGTTCACATGCTGATCACGAGTGTTATCTTGATGATGATTGACGTTGTCATACACGGACAGGGCTGGGTCACATGACGAACCACGAGATTTTGCCTATAAAACTCTTTTATCAATCGTTTTGTATTTCAACGTGTTTGGATTGCGATCACCTGGAGCATTATGGCGCAAACGCTCATATTACTTACAGACGCATGCACAAGGCGTATTGTTCGCGGCAATTCCACACTAAAAGATGTTATTGAGCGGTAATTTTGGAACGGATTGAGTCGCGAACGCTTGAAAGCCATGAAAGCCTTGAATGCCTTGTATGCCAAGTATGCCAATGCCTTAGTTGAAAAACGTACAATTGTTGTAAAAAGCAAAATCTGAAATCTGAAACCAAACTGCTTATACTCTATGCAATCTATTGAACAACACTACTACCGTGAGACTGAAGAACATAACTATAATGGATGCAAACTGCTTGTGAAGAAAGACGCCATGTTGGATTCACTTGATGGTAAGGAACGCAGCTACGATAACAGTACGAATGGTATTAATTTCACGATCAGAAGGTGAATCTTATGTTTGTTTTCGTTGTAGTTGTATGGATATTCCTTTTTTAATAAATACGTGATCCAAAACCCTGTGTTTTTTGTGTATAATGTTATAATGTTAAGTATTGTTTACGCAATTGTCTTGTCACAGGCGGCCCAAGCTCACGTCTCGAGAAAAAGCCAACGATTAATTCATGAACGCATCACGCGTTGTGTGACTCGGTGTGTGAATATTATCATATACTCAACAAAATATCGCGTTTCTGATTGGTCAATGATGAATGCATAAATAGGTTATAGAGTGCAATAGAGGTTATAGAGTGCAATACCGTTGGAAATTTGAACACCGTTATAAACAAAAAGCTGACAGCCGGTTTGCTTTGTCAAACCAAAACATCGTTGAGCAACTTAAAGAAAATGGACAAACAAAAACACGTTGAAAGCTACACAGACCTGGTTAAATGTCGATTCAACGAAAAGTACCCAAAAATGGAAGAATACGAGCACGAACAACTCGATAAAATGTTGGAGTAATTTTGTCGAGAATTTAATAAATAAAAAATCGTTTGAACCTGCTCGTGCATTTCGTGATTTATGGTCACTCGTGATGTTTTGAAAGTTCTCAAATTACACTCGCCTACGGCTCGTGCAATTTTGAGAACTTTCAAAACATCACTCGTGCCCATAAATCACGAAATGCACTCGCGTTCATACGATTTCCTATACGTATAGGGAACGAAATATGGTCGATTTACAACGATAAATATTTCGAAATATGAACATTTTTCTCGTAAAATCAATAAAACTTACTCATACCCTGTGTATCCGTTGTAGTTTCTAGCGATTTCTGCCGTTGTAAGCTTGCTTTACCATCACCGTTATTCAAATCATCTACTTTTATTACGTTGGTAAAATTTGTACAAACATTACACAAACTAACTCGCGCGCAAAGTAAGAAGACTATATTGAAGGCTTTAAATTATATTACGATCGATTTTCATCAAGAAATGGGCCAGGAATTTTCCACAATAGTGCAAATAATCATGAAGGCTGATCGCGGAAAAGCGATTGCGTGACGCTTGGTAAGCTGTAAGACGATTCTCAGCCTGCATTTTGTACCCACTCTGCACTCTCCAGTCTATATTTTGTGTCCGGTCTGCTGTCTGCATTTTGTACTAACAGGTATCTGTGGCACCAATACAGTTTATTTTTGGTTACATTTATTCGCACAACACACATAATCTACCACAAAATACCTGTGTGTGAGGTAATTCGACATTTTCGTTCTTTTCCACGTTAATACTCTTCTTTTCTTTTGTAAGAATGTAGACCAGTTAAATACAATGTTTCAAGTAATCCACCCACCCTACAAAAAAACAACTCTTGCATGCATAGCATGCCTATACTTTGAAATAGGTGTATGCCCTTGGCCAGACTTGAGCTCACTATTTCAATATACTCATCGCCAGAAATCAAGGACATTTCGAGCCCGCTAACAATTATCAGCGGTATATCGTATTACACTCCGGAACAATAGAATATCAAGAGAATTCAATATGGCGGCGATCACGGCTCAATCTGCAAAGAAGCGTGTTTCGTACCATGACTTACACAATTTGAGCACCGCAGATCTTCTATTTGATGAAAAGAAAAAGAAAAGAAGACCTGCAAGTAAATCTTTGGGATTTTTCGAGGCAGAGCGATGACTGTTAGTTTCGAAACGCGTAACTTGTATACTTTTCTGTTAGGTTTGTTCCGGTTTATTATTTCTTCGTTGGTTAATGATTATTACTTAATAAGTTTCTATTTCAATCAGTTTCATTTAAGCACATGTACCAGATGTTGTATTTCATATTTCATCGCTATAAGTTGCTGTCGACGCAACCAATTTTCTCTGCTATTCATGTACGATCCGCTATCGGCGATTCATCTACAATCTTTAGGAGCTAGACCAAAGTAAGTTTTCCTTTATTTCACATTTAAGATATTTCCTTTTCTTTTTTTGGATACGTATATCGATTTATTTCTCGCTTTCAGTTCACTTTTTAATCGCTTTATTGTTAATTAGGCTAGTGTTACGTTTCTCACGGATATTTTCTTCGTTTAGTTTCTGCTGCATTTTCTTTTAGTTCGAACCACACAAATTCAGCTACAACGTTACCATCAATCGTAACCACGCTATCTTCAACTTTACTTCGCCCTCTTCATCTGTGATTTCACACCGATCTCCTTATTTCGTTTTTAATTTTGATTGCGTACTTCATTTGATTAAACCGTGATTTATATTGTGCGTTCGGATTGTCTTCTCCGCTACAGTAGTAACCTTTGAAGGTTACAATGACATGATGTCAGAATTTTGATTTGCTTTGCTTTGCTTTGATTTGCTTTAAATTTTCGCGCCAAGCCTACTGAATTTGCATTTAACGCCTGGCATATTTTATTCCGAAAAGGACCCGAGAACTAATTTATTTCCCAGCAAGAGCATAAACAAATATGGCCGATGATTCGAAGATCAGCGTTGCTCGTGTTTAACCATTTCAGTCATAGTTTTCAACATGGCGTCTCGTCACTTACTCAACATGGAAAATTAGGAATATTCTGGCGCGTTGGGAAGTTTTTTGATGGGAGGAAATGACAATTTTACAGAATATTTTGACGCTTCGAACTCAGTAGCAGTCAATTCGATCGAGAGCAGTTGACTTCATTGCTGCACTTTCCTGTAATAGGCGAGTGTCTGGGATGGAGAACGACGGATTTTGAAGAACTGTATGGCGACTTAGGTCAATGAACAATGACAAAAGAACTGGCTCGGGATGTAAGTTGTTTTTATTTATCGAGTCACTGTGAGGTTTGATGAATAGCAGAATCAATACTGAATATGTCTCGATCGAGAGCAGACGGGACCATGAGGTCCTGATTGTTATATTTTAGAAATTTTACAAATTTCCATATAGTTTCCTATATTATTTGGACGCCATTATGGGCGAAATGCGCAAGTGCGCCCGCCATCTTGTCCAATATTTCTGCCAATGCTAATCCGACACCCGCAGTATCACTACACTTGATTCCAAGGATCCAGTACCATCCAGGTATCCCAGTTACCCTGCTCACAGGGTCTAGTTTGAAGTCTATGTCGTACTGGCAAAGGAATCATTGATGGATCTTTAGTTTTCTAAATGCAGTAGTTCCTGGAAGGTTTTTCTAGATATCATGCAAAGAGGAAAAAAGCCCATCTCTTGGTATTTCGGAGATTGATACATCTTTGAATTTTTATGTGTCACGCTTGTCATGCAACTGATATAATAAGATGGAGAATATACGAAAACTGGAACTCAAATCTGGCTACAATGTGGTAGAGCATAACGTGATCATCAAAATAGCTCATAAAATCATAAATAAACAATGTAAGAGTGTTAGGTTAGATTTTTTTTACAAATTGTAGTGATTTATGCCAGTAAACGGTGGCGACAAGTAGGCACACCATCTATATTTCATAGTCGCCAGCTAGTAAATTTTGCCGGACTTTGAGTTCGTCTCAAGATAGAACAACACAAATGCACAAGGAAATTTTTAGAGTAACTTTTTAACCATCCCTTTTCTTTTAAAATATATTTTCACAAAAAAACTACACCACAATTATAAGGACATATTGGGCTACAAATTATGAAAATAAGAGTGAAAGCAAAGTTTGGGCGACTTGCCGCTGTTTGTCTGATGCTGACAGTAGCTCTTAAAAATTCCTTTCCACAAGAAGCTGCAAGGGGTAATTAATGCAATTGTGAACTGCCAACAGCGATAAGAAGTTGTTTATGCGTCACCACCGAGTGGTTGATCAGCGTAACAGATGCTGACCCAAACACTTCTTGAGAAGGGAGATAAGATATAGTCCCTGAGATAATGTGCGCGCAGTACAAGCCAATCTTTTGGTGCGTAAATTTCCAGGACTGCCCGCTAAAATTTAAATGGAGAGAATGGCCAAAATGATTCGCTAATTTTACCGTAGTTATTCTTTCGCTTAGGTGGGAAAATAAGAGTCTGAATATTTTGTTTTCTTTTTAATGTGCTGTGAAAAGAGCTCCCGACTGTTTCGAATTGCTTTCTACTTTCGTCATTTAAAGCTGCTTTGTGAGAATAAAAATCGGTTACAGAACAGGTGAAACCACTTTATCCTCTCTTGGTAAGACACACTGAGGAAATAAGACAAAAATAACTTACAACTCACGTCCTTTCGATCCGTGCATTATCTTTCTGTTCCTCGTTTTCGCCTTTGTGACTGATAGCTCACGCGCTTTGCGCTCGGCCCATGCATTTTCAAGACCGAGGTCATAGTTTTTCATCATACGGACCGACCCTTAGCCGGTAAATATATATTTATTTATTTTTCTAACTTAGCGAAATTCTTTCCGAAAGAACCCGAATGATTTAGGGCTGTAAATACGGCAAGATCTTCCATAAACAGAACAGTTTTTGAGCGAGTAAATGGCAGTTAAAATAGAGGTGATGCAATTTAAAGAGAAATGCTTCACCGAAACAATTTCATTTGCGTAATAGTAAAGGTGATTTAAAAGGCTTCCAAGCAAACTTTGAAACATTATCTTTGCAAGTATCTGTCACCATCTGACACCTGTCAATTAGGGAGCGCGTAAGGAAGAAAAAAGCGCACGCACACTTGAAAAACAACGAAACTAGCTTAGCAAGGACTGCTGCGGCAATGTTTTCTTCAAAACAGGCCATGATCTAACGGAAATTATTATTCACTTTCATCGACGATTAATTCATGTACGAAGATTTACCTCTGTTCATTACGTAAACGGCGAGGAAAGTAATAGTAAGTAAATTCAAATTTTTTTATTTCGAAGTGGTGAGAGTTTGCTCGTTTGTTTGTTGCAATGGCGTGTATATATCTGGTCTTTCCTCCACAAAAACTAAATTCGAATGATACACTCCAACGAGACACAAGAAGATTTAATGCGGCCTTTTTTCCAGTTTCTGTTGTGCTATTTGTGGTACAAGTGTTCAAATTGAACGGACTTGGAAAGACTCACCAAGAGCGTTGTAAAACTGAAATCAAAACTTCGCTCGCTCTTTCACCACGAACGAGTTGTTTGAGAAAATTCAGATATTAAATGAATGAAAGTTCCATCGATTAGTTCAACTTTAACCAAATACCTCGTGTTTTAACTTTCTAGGTACTTTTTGTGAACGATTAAAATTAATTATAGACGGGTTTTAAGCCGCTTGTCTCGTAATGACACTATTGCTAATACGAATTCATTCTAAAACCAATATTTTTCTGTCAACCAAAGTGATTTGAGAGAGCGGAAAGAGATGATTAATAAGATATTTATCGGCTTGAGGTTGTGACCAACGTAAAAATACTGCCCAGCCGGAAAAACGAGATATATTTATGAAAAATGAAAGTAGGGATGTACTCGGCGACTCACGAAAGCGTTACCTTGGCTCGTGGGCAGAGATAGGAAAATACTGATCGGGTAGAGAACCAATTAGATTGCAGGATTCTTTACCGTGGCTTCTGAAATAGAAATATGTATGGACCCCAAATACGGTGTATTTTCTGCGACTTCATAAGAGTGATTTCACATCGCCGTGTAAATCTTTCACTCGCCTGCTCGAAACGGTTTCCTCGACGAACGTTTTGATACCAAAAACTCTAATAAAGAAACGTTTGTGAGGAAACCATGGCAAGTGATCTCTCTCTTTGTGCTGTTATGTGGCGTATCATGCACCACATGCGATATCCACGTCTTTGAGCATAGGTGATTTGCAGATTTGTATGTAAACATAACTACGACTATGATTCCGCCGTGGCGTAGGTAAGTTAACCTTCTTAGCAAGAACCACTCTGCTTGATTTTCATTGGATATTAAAAGATCAGATTTGACACATCTGGTGCGCATCGCGGAGCCAAATTGAGCAATATATGAGAAGGCTGATTACCAGTCAAACTCCAGAAATTTGTTTTTCATACATCTAGAATTATCTCTTTCTAACCGAGGTTAGTACGGACCGAGCTTTTCTGCTTGGAGTTATAGCCCCTTCGAAGCTGGCTGCACAGTGAAATACGACCCGCTAAATTGATCACTAATAGCGCACATACTGAATGAGGAATATGATAAATGTAATATATATTATCCACGAAAGAAGATTACATATAAGGGTCTTTTATCTTTTTTTCCCTAATCGTCCTTCACCATAACTGCACATAAACATCCTTCCTCAAACGTATGTCTTACCTTTCTGTGCCCCGCATAGCCTTTGTCCTGAAACATACAGCGTGATAAATATCAATAACAGGACCAGCAAGACAGCCATGGTGAGCAAACAAGCGATCTTCCAGTGCGCAGCTGTTACCCACCCCCTGTTAGTCTTCTGTCGCTGTTCTTCATCAATACACAATGGTTCCATTCTGAAACGTAACGAAATGTTTACCTTGGTTTTATTAAACGTACGCAATACCAAAAGGAAATACAACAAAAAAGGATTCCTGATCGCAGGTTGGTGAAAAATTTCGAGTTCTGTATGTAGTTTTCGCATTTGAAAATGAAAGTATTAAGTCAACATTTTTTTATACAAATTTCACTATTTGCCGTTTGTATATCCAAGAATCGAAACGACAATTGCAAACGTCGTGTACCACTTTCGCAAAGAGTTTTAACTCTTCACTCCTAACATAAGCAGGCATTAAATTTTTCAAAATCCGAAATTCTTCCAGGTGAATGTCGGCATAACTTGTTGACAGGCTTGGAGAATTGATACTATTTTTTCTAGTGCAGGGGGCGGCTAAGGTGTTGCTTTCGCTGATGTTTTTCTTTTTTCTTCTGATCGAAAGTTGATGTGAAACGGAACCAGTCATTCTTTTGGCTGTGTTATAAAAGATTAACGTATCAAATTACCGACACTGTGCGGCCAACAGTCCTTTATACTGACACAGCATTCGCCTGCTTTATATTGGTAATACAGAAGTTTGAGTCACGTATCACAGATGATCCAAGTTGGCTAAAATCTTCATTGGCAAGTCATTCCGCCAAAATCCTCTAATGCCGCTCATTGGATTCGATTTTAAAAAAGCTAGACAACTGAATGCGATACTAACATACTGTTTTTGCGAATAGTTCCCCTAGTAAGACAGTTTTTTCATAGTTGCAAAAAACATAACAAAACATAACATTAAACATTTAACTGCGAATCAAGGACAGCAAAGCCAACTTAATTAAATATTTTGCAAATAACGCAAGGAAAATTCAAAACCAACCTGAGGTACTGATTCTGGAGTGAAATGACAAAATAATTACAAGCTTTCAAGTGCAAGGTCAAGATTCAACCGTATATCTCGTGTTCAAAATGGAATTTATCCCCGAATTCTAGCTGCAGTGGTTACATATGTATTTCATCATCGAACCATTTCGAGAAACCATACCGATATCACGTGATGGATGTTTTCTTAGGACTGGACCATTCAGGAAAAGAGTTGAATCACGTGCAGATATGAAAACTGAAATGAATATTTCGTCATTTTTAACTCGTTACTTGCGCGCATGCGCAAGAGCGAGTTGCAGATATGATGTGGAGAATGGCACTCGCTCGCTCGCTCGATTGGTCGATTCCTGTAAACTTTTTTTCAATTTTAGGCTTTTGAGTGCATTTGATAGTTTTTGGCGAGTAATAAACAAACGAAATGGCGACCTTTGTTGCTAAGAACAGTGGTGAGGTGAAAAAGAAGCCAATGATAATCTTAGAAGAGTTTATTTTTTTTTCGTTTCAGTTTCAACAAGCGGCGCTAGCGACTGGCAGGCGTGCGAGGATTCACACTGAAATAAGAGAACAACCTTCGTTTTCCATAAGATTGTTATTTACAATCCTTGAACTTGAAAACAATCCAAAGATTCATCAAAAATATCACTTACTCCGAAGCGCTCGGAGTTTTACAGGTGTTCAAAAGCTTTTTCTGTTATGGCGTGAGATTGGGGACAAAATCGATCATTGTATTTCGTATCATGTGTTTTTCCTGTGTGAAGCAACAAAAGGTGCCGGCGACTGACGAAATTACAGGTTAACACGAAAATCAAATAACACCTAAACAAACAATTTTAGCTACCGATCTCCAGTGAATTTTTAAAGAACAATTTTCTTTTAAGTTTCAAGACATTTTGAAGATTCTAAATAGATATTACGTACCAAAATGCGAAACTTATACACCACAAAATGGATATATAGGCCTGAAATGAAATTCTATCTTGTTCTTGATCATACGTTGCCTAGCACGTGACCAAAATCTACCCAGGTGGAAATCCAAAATGTCGGTGGCAGTCTTGGCTTAGTTATGTCACTCAAAACTCGTTCCCGTTTGTCTCATTTGATAAAGAGGGAATCATTAATTTTTTCTCGTTAAGACAGTATTGCCTTGATTTTCCAATATTTACAATGATAGACAGTAAATTTCACTTTTCACCCACATTTACTTCCAACCTTTTCTATTGAAACAGAAACACAAATGATATATGTATGTTATTTGCCGGCTGGGGGGTCCGTATGGTGAAAAACATTTCAAGACCGAGGTCACAGTTTTTCACCGTACGGACCGACCCCTTAGCCGGTAAATAACTTCTTTTTTTTAACTTGACGAAATTCTTTCCGAAAGAACCCGAATGATTTAGGGCTGTAAATATGGCAAGATCTTTCATAAACTGAACAATTTTTGAGCGAGTAAATGGTAGTTAAAATAGAGGTGATACAAATTAAAAAGAGATGCCTCACCGAAACATTTTCATTTCCGTAACGATAAAGGTGATTTAAAAGGCTTCCAAACAAACTTTGAAACATTATTTTTACAAGTATCTGTCACAATCTTACACCTGTCAATTAGGGAGCGTATAAGAAATAAAAAAGCGCAAGAACATTTGAAAAACAACGGAACTGGTTTGGCTTGGACTGTAACGACAACGTTTTCTTCAAAAACGGTCAATGATCTAACGGAAAGTATTATTCACTCTTATCGACGATTCATTCATGAACGAAGATTTACCTGTGTTCATTAAGTAAACGCCGAGGAAAGTAAATGCGAGTAAATTCAATTTTTGTTATTTTGAAGTTGTGAGTTTGTTCGTTTGTTTGCTGCAATGGCGTGTGTAAATCTGGTCTTTCCTCCAAAAAAACTACATTCGAATGGCACACTCCAACGAAACAAACGGGGATTTAATGCGGCCTTTTCTCATTGAACTCCTTCAATTTCTATTGTGCAATTCACGGTACAAATGTCCAAATTGAACGGACTTGGAAAGACTCACCGAGAGCACGAATTAGTTGTAGAACTTAAATTAAAACTTCACTCGCTCTTTTACTGCGAACAAATTGTTTGAGAAAATTCAGATATTAAATTAATAAAAGTTACATCGTTTAGTTTAACTGTAACCAAATACTTCACGTTTTAACTTAGTATGTACTTTTTGTGAACGATTAAAATTAACTGCAGACGGTTCTTAGGCCGCTTGTCAACCAACGTAATTGACACCATTGCTTATACAAATCCATTCTGAAACCAATATTTTTCTGTCGACCAAAGTGATTTGAGTCAGAGAAAACAGAGGATTCATAAGTTATTTATTGGCTTAAGGTTGTGACCGATGTGTTTGCTTAAAAATACTGCACAGCCGGAAAAACGAGATATATTTATGAAAAATGGCAACGAAAGTTGGGATGTACTCGGCGACTCACGAAAGCGTTACCGTGGCCCGTGGGCAGGATAGGAAAATACCAACCGGGTAAAGAACCAATCAGATTGCGGGATTCGTTACTGTGCCCTCTAAAAAAAAAATAAATGTTTAAAATACATGACATCATTCTCCCTTGTCAAATGTAATAGCATGATCATTTCAATTGTAATGCCTTCTTATCCCAACGTTACTTTGTTTCTTTGCTAAATTAGTGAACACTGAACTACTCCTCGTACTCTAAATATGACAATCAACCACAAAATTCCCTAAACCAGATAACCTTAAACATAATCCAAAAAATTAGATAAGTCATCTGTCAATTCACGAGTTTGCTCACAGAGCACTTTGATTGTGTCTAGTGCGTAACACCTAGACACCTTGCAAAAGCGGTAAGAGATTGAGTGTCAACAAATGACGTAATGCTTTATTGGTTTTTGTAGCTTACTGCTTAAAGAGGCGTAAACTGCTATGGTGTCCTTCTGAGTAAGTGAGTGTAACAACGGAATCGAGCCCACAATGAACTCTGCCGATTTTAATCCGATATTCCCCGATCTTAACTCCTTTTTGAATCTACGGACTTCTGTGAAGTCGTAGATACTATGCTATCCAGAGTGTAAGTCCTTCCGTATGTCCATAACAATGGAAACCTGCGGATAATGCTCGGAATTCAGTTCGGTCTTCTCCAATATCGTTCGATTTTCGTATCTCGCGTCAGCGATCGTGATCGCAATTTTTTGTCTCCTGCAGGTTTTGTGTCGCATTGCTGCGATTCTTTGCACCGCCAAGGAAATATTTGCCCACCCCAAAGGAGTTCAGCCGTCGTATTGCTGCGATTATTTGTTCCGCGATTGATTATTTTAGTCAAAAATCGAAATGAAAGATTAAAATCGCTAAATATTCTCGCATGTGTGCAAATAGGCATGTGGATCAAATTTCAAAGTGAATTATGCATATTTTTTTCGTGTGTGAGAAAATCTCAAGTTTCATGGTATCTATAAATAGGAAGCAAGAGGAAAACATCGCCAGAAATCAAGGACATTTCGAGAACACTAACAATTATCAGCGGTATATCGTATTACACTCCGGAACAATAGAGTATCAAGAGAATTCAATATGGCGGCGATCACGGCTCGATCTGCAAAGAAGAGTGTTTCGTACCATGAGTTATACAATTTGAGCACCGCAGATCTTCTATTTGATGAAAAGAAAAAGAAAAGAAGACCTGCAAGTAAATCTTTGGGATTTTTCGAGGCAGAGCGTTGACATGATGTCCGAATTTTGATTTGCTTTAATTTAATTTTCGCGCTAAGACCACTGAATTTGCATTCAATGCCTGGCATATTTTTATTCCGAAAAGGACCTGAGAACTCATTTATTTCCCTGCAAGATCATAAACAAATAGGGCCGACGATTCGAAGATCAGCGTTGCTCGTGTTTAAATGTTTCAGTCATAGTTTTCAACATGGCGTCTCGTCACTTACTCAACATGGAAAATAGGGGATATTCTGGCGCGTTGGGAACTTTTTTGATGGGAGGAAATGGCAATTTTACAGGATATTTGGACGCTTCGAACTCTGTAGCAGTCAATTCGATCGAGAGCAGTTGACTTTATTGATGCACTTTCCTGTAATAGGCGAGTGTTTGGGATGGAGAACGACGGATTTTGAAGAACTGTATGGCGACCTAGGTCAATGATCAATGACAAAAGAACTGGCTCGGGAAGTAAGTGGTTTTTATTTATCGAGTCCCTGTGAGGTTTGATGAATACTGTCTCGATCGAGAGCAGACGGGACCATGAGCTCCTGATTGTTATATTTTAGAAATTTTACAAATTTTCATACAGTTTCTTATATTATTTGGACGCCATTATGGACGAAATGCGCAAGCGCGGCCGCCATCTTGTCTAATATTTCTGCCGATGATGACCAAGAGATATTTCGGGACGACAGTTTTATTCAAAACAATTCTTGATTTGCTGTTATAAGCGAAAAACGTTCGAATTTCTTACGTGCACAAAACCCACGCCGTAAAATTCATCATGCTTAGATCGTTGTTTCGTTGACTTCACGGCAAGAAATTGCGTAGCGTTATGATGAAATTTCTGAAAGTACTACAATTTGACGTAAAATCTTCTATTAAACAATACTTTTTGAACACGTAATATTTACCGACCAATGGAGTCGTCAAATTGTCGCTAGGCCCTGCTTGAATTTCGAAAGTTGGGTATTCGGTTTACAGCCACAATTCGCATCGCTTTAGAGAACCGTTGTGTCGTTGACTCGAGAGTTTGTTCTGTCACCTTTAAGACCTTGACGTCCATTATTTTCCAAACAGAGTATTCTGTAGCATTCCTACTTTATATGCTGAGTTCCACAAGGTCTAACTCGATCGCAAAGGAACGAAAAATCCGACTTAAATATTTTGAAGGTCGGCCGTTTCATTTTCAAATATTTGATCATTTAGAGTGAACGCATAGAATAATGCCCCTTTAATACCCCCTAAAGCCATCAACATATTTTTGCAAACGAAGGATTCTGATTGGTTTTTTTTATCTCCTAACGATAGAGGAAGTTTGGGGACAAAAATTCTACTTAGTAAGGGAGGTAGGGGCAGTTACGGGTGGTTCAGGTGTCAATGTGTTAGCATATTATATTTATACTAATAATATATTTGTTTCGTTCATCGCGGAGCTTGCATTTTTGGTTGCACTATATCTTGAGTTGTGAGTAATTTCTAGTGTCGTTTCAGGGCGGTTAAATATGGTATTCTAAGTAATAACAGGTGCAGTAAGCTATATGCAGTCATCGACTGCCTATTTTTTGTGAAGTTTACAGTACGTGTCAAGATACATGAGGTAAGCGATCATCTCGTAACACAAATTTTACGAGAATGCGTAACCAGTGAAGTGGCGTAACCACTTGGATATTTAGTCATGAGATCTGTCGTGTTAAGGCGGATATCCTTATTTGTTTAGCAAAACTCCTGAGGCAAACAAAGGAATATTCGGAATCGAAGAAGAAAAAGTTGTAGAGGACAATGTGCTTTGTCAACTGTCGCGTTTTAAGGGGGGACTGAGGTGGCGAGGAAAGTTTATCATTTGGCAAGTAAACCAAACTTTTCTAAGATACTCATACCTGCTCTCGCCTTTATAATTGATCTTTTGTAGTTTGTTAATCGTCACTTTGCTGTTAATCGACACGTGGTCGGCGCCGGCCATAAGGTTAGTATAGAGTTAACAGATTTTACGACTTTATTTTCTGCACGAGGATCCACCCCCCAATTACCAAGACATTGTATAGTTTTGTATTTTCCTTTCGTTTTAACTTTTAGATTCTCTGAAGTCGTTTAATCTTAATTTCATTTTGTAAGACTATTGGAACGCCCCAAATATGCGCGAAAAGTCGTCGCAAATTGTACCTAAATTGTATCTATCTTTGTTTTACAGAACTAAATATTTGATGGAAATTCACATGTTGAAATCTGTGCGATTTATTCATATCAAAATGGGGTGACCGCCTAATAGAGCTGAAAATGATACAAAGGGGCAAACAAAACTCTCGGGTCTTTGAACACCGACCACTTGATGCGGGGTGACCGCTTCATACAGTGCTGCTTAATACAGTTCGACTGTACGTTTTGTCAGTTATCCACCGACAAGCAGAACTCTTGTTGCGATGGTTCCCTGTACAAGACTGCTTTTACATAAATCTGACATCTGTAATTCATAACCTTTTTATTATCTTCTGAGCCAGAAGTAAAAGAGGGAGGCTTAAAATGAGTTATCACAGGCTATATTCACAAACTGTTTTATCGTTTGAATCCAACTGGAATTAAGATAGAACTGTAAAAGCTGTGTCTTTTGCTTCACATCAGTCACAAAGAAACGAACAGGATTGTTTGTATATTTGCTCCAAAAGTGTGCCAGTGTCAAAAACAACGTGTGTTACGTGCAAAAAATACTTGTTTCCCTACAGTAAAACAGTTAAGACCAGCCTTTTTATTTAATACTTTCTCTCCAGCAGAAACACAGTGGATCAATTTGCATATTGAGAAAACTCGGAACTCAGTCTAATTGTTAAAAAGGCTATGAAAAACTTCTTTGAAAACTACTGCACTTCGGTACACCTATGAAACCACTGACATCCATTCAGCATACCTTCAAGGTAGACCTGTAGCGCAGTACAGCAGTATGCATGCAATTTCATCTTGCACTAGACAAACGTTTGCAGCGCGGACCGGCTTTTTCATAATAGAACCTTCCCTTATCTCGAATCGTAGGTCATTTTTGCTGCCATTAAATCTACAACATCACAAAAAAAAGCCCGAACGAAGCAATGAGTTGTAAAAAAGTATTGAGAAGCAGCCACAAATATCAAGAAAAGATAAAAACCAAGCGACTCTTTAGCGAACATGGCGGCAGAAAGAAGTCCTCAATAAGGCTGAGTCATGAAATAAACTAAGGGAACATTTATTAATCACAATGTATTTTGACAAATGTCAACTAAACAAGTTTTAAGTTTTTTCGAGACGACAATAATGCATGCTTATGATGTCAAACAAAACAGCTATTCGTTCACTAGAGTTGTTCATTAATTATAAAGTTTTCAGTGGGCGATCTATCGTTTACTTTTATTCATAGTTCTTGATTTATTAATTGCACTGAAGAAAGTTTTGTCGAAAAACCTGAATGAGTTTTGTTGCCCGTCAATAAACAGAAATCAATCCTGTATACTGGTTATCATTTTTAAGTCAATAAGAAAGCCTCAGTACGGCCTATAGTTTAAACTTGAATCGTGTTTTGAACCCGTTACGACAGTCAAGCGTTGTTCAAATAAATTAGATGCGAACATAGGCGTCGTGAAATGTCATATCCACGATAAACATGTTCCTACCCTCCAAAATTATTAAGGTATTAGATAATCGATAACCTTTGAGGGCCGCCTCACCATTTTTTAGGAAATAGCCAACATATTCGAGTTCATTTTATAAGATTGTGCCGAACTTTAGCACCTGTAGGGGTCACCTTGAATTGAATGAGTCAGACTGCACATGTTTAATAATAACAACAATAAAGATGATGATGATAATAATAATAATAATAATAGTAATAATAATAATAATCTGTCTTTGATAAATCAGAAACAACAAACGTGTAACTTTACAATATGTTAACAAGGAAATCATAAGTATAGTTAAGAATATGTCAAAATTGTAGCATTATAGCATCATGTACAAAAAGAGGCTCAAAACATTTGATTAATAGAGCTTTCATGTATATAATTTCACAAAAAAAAAGAATAGCCCTATGTAAAGGCTAATCCATGTTATTAGGGCGAAACATGCAAACGTAACGCACCAGAAGTTTCCAATTAATATTAAAAAAAAGAACGATTTAAATGTCTTCTGTCCACACTAAAAAGGATAACCGTGCGCTACCTTACGCATGCGCATAATAAGGGCCAAAATTTTTAACCTCGATACTATTGCTGTCGTTGGTGTATGCAATGATAATGGTGCTTTATTGCGTAATTAAAATCAAAATCATTAAAGTATCTCGCAGAGAATCAAAGTCTAAGTAAGCTCATTTTCATAACAAAAATTGAGCAAGTTATTTGTTATTTGATCCGAGGGAAGTCGGCAAAATAGCCAAATAGGGAGTGAGCAATATCTTTATCATGCGTTCGGAAGTTTGCATTTTGCAACTTTGCAACTTTTCAACCAGCGAGAACAACAATGATATTAAAAAACCGACACAAACATAAAAGGAGACGGTAAAACAGGCAAACTGTTTATGGCACGAGAAAACACGTCTTCACGGTGCGAATGGTTTTTGTTTTGCATCTCATCAGTTGATAGGAAAACCAAATCAAGACATTCCCGAGTTACTTTCCACACTCATTGGTAGGATAAAAAAGAAAAGATGCGGGCACACATCAGATTATCAACAAAGAGTTTTCAAAGGTTGTTTTTAATGTAACATCCTTCACAATGTTCACAAATCATATCATGGATGTTTTCACTTCAGCACGATGGCTCAATTATCTTCACTGAGCCCTTGATGTGAGCTTTGAACTCGCGCCACTGAAACACGTTGCCCACCCCTGTCAGGCACGACTTTGACATGCGTGCGATTTCTTGGTCTTTTATGACGTGATCCCAAATGTTGACACCTGTCATTTCACCGATGAAAGATTGATGGGCTTCAAACTTTCCCCCCTTTGAGTCTTGCTCCTGCCCTAGTACCAGGGATCCATTTGCACGAATCATGTGACCTGTGGGGACATTAACAGGAAATTAAGGAAAAAGATAAATTCACCAGTTAAAAAAGATTCAACTTTATCTTTTGCTTTGATTAAGATTAAGATCTCTGAAGGAAATGATAAAAAGCTGAAAAGTGAGTACATTCTTTCCTTTTTTTTAATTTTCCTAATCAATAATTTACCGAATAAGTGAGTCATGTTGCTCTATTTGTTCCAATTACTCTTTGGGAACTACGCACTTTATCTTTAAATGACTAACATAACGTACACTGTAGCATTTAAGTGATAAATTTCATAATCGTTTATCAAGTAATTTCACCATCACAGTCACGTGCATTTTTGTCAAGGTTTTTGCATGTTTTTCAAGTATTTCTTTTTTGGCATCAGTGATCATTACCTCGTCAGAGTTTGTCTGATATATTTTCCTTGTTTTGCGCATTTCTCGGTTTCTCGAGTATCCTTAGTCTTCTTTCGCCTTTTTCAGCTTCTTAGGGTGGTTTTTCTCAGCGTTACTTACAAATCACATATAGAGCATTCAGGAGGGAATTTTTCACTAATCGTTTCTTCTCCGCAGAAGGCAGTTTAGTTCACAACGCAATTATTTACGGTTAGTGTCCGGGACAATTTTACGGAGTTTCCTCTCAGGGAGATTCGCTTACAGTGTCCGTTAAAATGTAAATGCAAACTGGGTTTTTCGGAGTGAAATCAGAAACAGAGAACTGACAACATTCAATAGACAGCATACAATAGCTGACAACATTCAATAGTCAACAGCAAACATTGGTTTAGGTAGCTTCCCTGAAGAAAACAACCTTTTAACTGACCGTGTTTAACGAAACAGCTTTAAGAGATGTTTAAGCTTTGTTTTGTATGGAGTACAAGTCTATCTTCGTCTATCTATAACTACTTTTAAGTCTACGTGTACTTTGTACTTCGTTTATTCAAATCAATCTTGTGGAATCCTGGCGGTTTTGTCATTTCGGCCGCCTCGTATTAGCAGTTACACACACTTAACATTAAATACTATTATAGGGACAATTACTAAAAGAAGAATTTACCTGTTTGGAGACTTTTACCACGAGCGGCAACCGAACCATCTCGAAATAATTTCCATGATCCAGTGGTTTTCTCCCATGTTAAGCAGATATGATGCCACTTTCCATCATTGGCGGATACAGAAGTATAACCACTAAAATTAGCAGCAAAACGCGAGAAGTGTACTTTGAGTATTTTAAAGTTTACAGCAACATTAAATCAAAATAACTGTTGGGATTAATAACAGGACAAAACTTCAGATGAAATACCCAAACCTTCCATGGTCGTTGATGTAGATCCTAAATAGTCTATAGTCAGTCAGGAGAAGCTCGTTGTTTTCTCCAGATACAGCATAGCTCAGGAGTGCTCCTTCATTTCTAGTATCAGCGGTTTTCATCCACAGACAAACCGTTACAGCTGACAGGTTTGGCATGCCACGTGTGACGATGACGTAATCACTGGTTCCTCTCTGCGGAAATTGTAGAGCGTATCCTGCAACTGAAGAATTACTCAGTTTTTTTATTTGTCAATGCCGCTTTCTTCTCTGATTGTACCATGATTATTTTTACATCATAATAGTTGATAGGGTGATGCGAGTTTCCATAGGAAGGTAAAGCAAAATCAAGCAATCCTACATTGCTTACAACAGACAAGTGAAAATTATTTTAAAGATGCATACCTGGCATAGCCAATGCCTTTATCGTTTCAGACGTGTTCTTAAATTGCAAAGAGAGCTCTTCGATTGACTTAATCACGACATCCAGTTTCCTTACGACACTTTTGTTAAACGAGTGAGGACTTGTGTACCACGCCTCGATTGTCTTGTTAATGAGAGCCAGTCTTCCTGAAGAAATTGAGACATAAACAAAGATCTTTCAATAATAAATGTGTAGGACAAAAAACATTGATTCATGGTGTGAATTCGAAATGTCAAAAAAGAAAGTTTTTCAAACAAATTTCGATTCTTACGGAATCAAAATGAATTTCACAATGAGATTATCGCTGTTTCCAAGTATCATTTCATATCATATCATATCATTACACTGCCCTGCGTGATTGTAATTTTCACATAATTTACAAAGTGGTATTGAAGGTTATCTGTGTAAGGAAAAGATATCTGGGATTTTCCATGAACTGAGATTTTGACACGCAAGTATATTTAAATGAAATTAAATCGAACTGTCAAATAAATCTTTTACACTTTTGAAAGTCTACTTTCAGGAAACAATGTCGGTGTTGATAGAAGGTTTGTGTGGAATACATTCGAAGAAATGAAGCCAAAGATCACTAAGTCATTCGCAAGCAAAGGTTAGATGCGATCGGATTGCGTTACATCACATCCTTGAACATACTTTAGATGCGTACTTTCCACTTGCATATTGGTAAAATTTTCGCGCTTCAAATTGGCGTTTTACATCGTTTTTATATGACCTCTTTTCTGTGGAACCTGTCTTACGTGGGCCCCCCCCCCCCCCCCAGCCATTCTTCGTAGGTGACCACCTAATACAGGTTTAACTGTGTAGGAAAATGATGTCACAAGGGAGGATTGGTAACTCAACGTGAACAGCCACAAGTAGGAGAAATGTTCATCATTGAGTCAGACTTGTTTTTCGTTTTGCATCTTCTTGTTTGAGAGAGAGGCCCAAGTTTCCTTCATAGACCAATCACAAACCGTAGTAAAGCAAAGCAATACAACCCAAGTTGAAAATCAATGTAAATAGAGAGTCGTCCTTTCAGACATGTTCATAACATTCACGTTTACTAAATCCAGTTTTCTTTCCATATTGGTGCCCAGGGAGTCGAGGCGTTTGGACAAAGCTTCAATGGCTTTGAAGATTGAGTCTTGGTTATCTGTAGATAATCGCGACAAAATAAAGCTAAAATGACCGATCACACACTTAGGTGGTACAAAGAAAAATTGTGAAATTCCACCATCAAACCTTGTAGAAAAGGCTTCCGTTTCACTGCCTTCAGTTTCTTCAAAGACGTTAAATGAACAGTGAAATAAGAGTGCAGATGCACACGCATACACACGACTTAAAGTGCATACCTTGTATTTCCAAAGCAGTTGTCCTCTGAGATGCGTTCTTAACATATGCATTTACTAAATCCAGTTTTCTTCCCATATTTACGTCCAGTGAGTCAAGACGTTTGGACAATGCTTCAAAAGCTTTGTACATTGAGTCCATCTTTTCTGTAGACAATCATGACAAATAGAAAAGGATTTTAAGACAAGCGATTACCCATTTAAGTGCCAAAGACAAAGGACAAACTGGGTTTCCCGGTGAGGATTCTAGCCCATCCTATTGCAGCCCAAATACTCCAGCAGCTGTAATGCAAACATTAAAGTTCTGTAAAGTTTTGTCAAATTATCCAGTTTTCCCAAAGACGAGTTAACACATCTGACCTAAAACTGATTTCTTAAAACAAGGACGGCTGGTTTACCAACTTAGAGCAGGCACATCTATATAGATGACAACAACGACCTCCACACCAGCTATGACCTTTTCACAAATCAAAACCTCATTAAAGAAACACCACCACAAGTTCTAAATATACATACCTTGCATTTCCAAGACCGTTGTCCTTTGAGATGCGTTCGTGACATTCAAATTTACGAGATCCTCTCCGATTTGTTTGTCTTGCCAGTCAAGGCGTTTGGACAAAGCTTCAGTGGCTTCGTTTATTGAGTCCAGTTTTTCTAGAGACAGCCATGATAAAGAAAGGTGTTAAAAGAACTGATTGTTTACGAAAGAGGGACAAGGTGCTGGGTAATGATTTGAGCCCTTGAGCAAACCAGACGTTTTACTGACTGAAATAAAAGAGCTAAGCCTCACTGAAAAAGCTCAACATTCTCTGCATTTGAGGGCCGGCTCTTTTCTTTAATGAGGCCGCTTTTCACGGCAAAGGGGGGGAGGGGGGGTTGGTAGCGGATGTGTTGCATTGACTGATGCATGATAGTTGCGCAAGAACCGCATTAATTGGCGCAGGAATGCTCAAGTGAGTCAAAGAAGAGAAAGTGTAGGTCATCAGCAAGACGTTTCAATCGCAAGAAGCTTAAAAATTCCTTTCCATAAGAAGCTGCAAGGGGTAATTAATGCAACTGTGAACTGCCAACAGCAATGAGAAGTTGTTTTGCAACGTTTTGGTAACTTCCCAACTAATGTGTCACCAACGAGTGGTTGATCAGCGTAACAGATGCTGACCCAAACACTTCTATTGAGAAGAGAGATAAGATATAGTCTCTGAGATAATGTGCGCGCAGTACAGGCCAATTTTTTGGTGCGTAAATTTCCAGGACTGCCCGCTAAAATCTAAATGGAGAGAATGGCCAAAATGATTCGCTAATTTTACCATAGTTACTCTTTCATTTGGGTGGGAAAATGAGAGTCTGAATATTTTGTTTTCTTCATGATGTGCTATGAAAAGAGCTCTAGACTGGATTTAACTTGTTTCGAATTGCTTTCTACTTTCGTCATTTAAAGCTTCTTTGTGAGAATAAAAATCGTTCACAGAACAGGTAAAACCACTTTATCCTCTCTTGGTAAGACACACTGAGGAGATAAGGCAAAAATATCTTACAAATCTCGTTCTTTCGATCCGTGCATTATGTTTCTGTTTCTCGTTTTCGCCTTTGTGACTGATGGCTCACGTGCTTTGCGCTCGGCCCATGAGTCAAGAAGAGAAAATAACTCTTGGTATGGACCCCAAATACGGTTAGCAATAAGAGGTATATTTTTTGCGACTTCATAGGGGTGATTTCACATCGATGTGTAAATCTTTCACTCGCTTGCTCGAAATGGTTTCCTCTACGAACGTTCTGATACCAAAAACTCTAATAAAAAAAAGGTTTCTGAGGAAACCATGGTAAGTGATCTCTCTCTTTGTGCTTTTATGTGGTGTATCAGGCACCTCATGCGATATCCACGTCTTTGAGCATAGGTAATTTGCAGATTTGTATGTAAACATAACTACGACTATGATTGCATCGTGGCGTAGGTAAGTTAACCTTCTTGGCAAGAACCATTTTCCTTGATTTTCATTGGATATTGAAATGTCAGATTTGACACATCCAGTGCGCATCGCGGAGCCAAATTAAGCGATATATGAGAAGGCTGATTACCAGTCAAACTCCAGAAATTTGTTTTTCATACATCAAGAAATACCCCTCACTAACCGAGTTCAGTTACGGACCGAGTTTTTCTGCTTGGAGTTATAGCCCCTTCGAAGCAGGCTACACAGTGAAATACGAGCCGCTAAATTGATCAATAATAGCGCACATACTGAATGAGGAATATGATAAATGTAATAAATATTATCCACGAAAGAAGATTACATATAAGGGTCTTTTATCTTTTTTTCCCTAATCGTCCTTCACCATAACTGCACATAAACATCCTTCTTCAAACGTATGTCTTACCTTTCTGTGCCCCGCATACCCTTTGCCCCGAAACATACAGCGTAATAAATATCAATAACAGGACCAGCAAGACAGCCATGGTGAGCAAACAAGCGATCTTCCTGTGTGCAGCTGTTACCCACCCCCTGATAGTCTTCTGTCGCTGTTCTTCATCAATACACAATGGTTGCATTCTGAAACGTAACGAAATGTTTACCTTGGTTTTATTAAACGTACGCAATACCAAAAGGAAATACAACAAAAAAGGATTCCTGATCGCAGGTTGGTGAAAAATTTCGAGTTCTGTATGTAGTTTTCGCATTTGAAAATGAAAGTATTAAGTCAACATTTTTTTTAACAAATTGCACTATTTGCCGTTTGTATATCCAAGAATCGAAACGACAATTGCAAACGTCGTGCACTACTTTCACAAAGAGTTTTAACCATTCACTCCTAACATAAGCAGGCGTTAAATTTATCAAAATCCGAAGTTCTCCCAGGTGAATGTCGGCAAAACTTGTTGACAGGCTTGGAGAATTGATACTGTTTTTCTAGTGCAGGGGGCGGCTGTTCACAGGCTAAGGTGTTGCTGTCGCTGATTTTTTTCTTCTTTTTTCTTCTAATCGAAAGTTGATGTGAAACGGAATCAGTCATTCTATAGGCTGTGTTATAAAAGATTAACTATCAAATTACCGACACTATGCGGCCAAGAGCCCTTTCTACTGACACAGCACTCGCCTGCTTTATATTGTAATACAGAAGTTTGAGTCACGTATTACAGACGATCCAAGTTGGCTAAAATCTTCATTGGCAAGTCATTCCGCCAAAATACTCTAATGCCGCTCATTGCATTCGATTTAAAAAAAGCTCGACAACTGAATGCGATACTAACATACTGTTTTTGCGAATAGTTCCCCTGTTAAGACAGTTTCTTTAGAGTTGCAAAAAACAGGATAAAACATAACATTAAACATTTAATTGCGAATCAAGGACAACTAAGCCAACTTAATTAAATATTTTGCAAATAATGGAAGGAAAATTCAAAACCAACCTGAGGTACTGATTCCCGAGTGAAATGACAAAATAAGCTTTCGCGTGCAAGGTCAAGATTCAACCGCACATCTCGTGTTCAAAATGGAATTTATGACCGAATTCTAGCTGCAGTGGTTATATATGTCTTTCATCATCGAACCATTTCGAGAAACCATACCGATATCACGTGATGGATGTGTTCTTAGGATTGGACAATTCAGGAAAAGAGTTGAATCACGTGCAGATATGAAAACTGAAATGAATATCTCCTCATTTTTGTGTCTAGTGCGTAACACCAAACACCTTGTAAAAGCGGTAAGAGATTGAGTGTCAACAAATGACGTAATGCCTTATTGGTTTTTGTAGCTTACTGCCTAAAGAGGCGTAAGCTGCTATGCTGTCCTTCTGAGTGAGTGAGTGTAACTATAGTATCGAGCCAAACTCTGCCGATTTTGATCCGATATTCCCCGATCTTAACTCCTTTTTGAATCTACGGACTTCTGTGAAGTCGTAGATACTATGCTATCCAGAGTGTAAGTCCTTCCGTATGTCCATAACAATGGAAACCTGCGGATAATGCTCGGAATTCAGTTCGCTCTTCTCCAATATCGTTCGATTTTCGTATCTCGCGTCGGCGATCGTGATCGCAATTTTTTATCTCCTGCAGGTTTTGTGTCGCATTGCTGCGATTATTTGCTCCGTCAAGGGAATATTTGCCCACCCCAAAGGAGTTCAGCCGTCGCATTGCTGCGATTATTTGTTTCGCGATTGATTTTTTAGTCAAAAAACGAAATGAAAGATTAAAATCGCTAAATATTTTCGAATGTGTGCAAATAGGCATGCGGATCAAATTTCAAAGTGAATTGTGCAAATTTTTCCGTGTGTGAGGAAATCTCAAGTTTCATGGTATCTATTAATGGGGAGCAAGAGGAAAATGACCAAGAGATATTTCGGGACGACAGTTTTATTCAAAACAATTCTTGATTTGCGGTTATAAGCGGAAAACGTTCGAATTTCTTACGTGCACAAAGCCCACGCCGTAAAACTCATCATGCTTAGATCGTTGTTTAGTTGACTTCACGGCAAGAAATTGCGTAGCGCTATGATGAAAATTCTGAAAGTACTACAATTTGACGCAAAATCTTCTATTATTAAACAATACTTTTTGAGCACATTGTAGGTCAAACGTAATACTTACCGGCCAATGGAGTCGTTAAATTGTCGTTAGGCCCTGCTTGAATTTCGAAAGTTCGGTATTCGGTTTACAGCCACAATTCGCATCGCTTTAGAGAATCGTTGTGTCGTTGACTCGGGAGTTTGTTCTGTCACCTTAAAAGACCTTGACGTCCATTATTTTCCAAAAAGAGTATTCTATAGCATTGCTACTTTATATTCTGAGTTCCACAAGGTCTAACTCGATCGCAAAGGAACGAAAAATCCGACTTAAAAATTTTGAAGGTCGGCCGTTTCATTTTCAAATATTTGATCATTTAGAGTGAACGCATCGAATGATGCCCCTCTAGTACCCCCTAAAGCCATCAAAATATTTTTGCAAACGAAGGATACTGCTCAAGTAGATTAGGGCCTGGTTCCAGAACGCTTCTGAGACCTTCTGACACCTGAAACCTCTTAACCCGTTGCGTGGCAACTGGGGTTAAAAGTGGTGTCAATTATCAACTTTCTCTTGAGGGTCGCTTGTAGCACGCCGCTTTTATCGTGTTCGGTATTTGGACGTCGGAATCTCAAATTTTTGACGCCAAAAACGGGCCATTCCGTTGAGGTAAGCTAGAGATATTTAGTACTTTATACAGCTGCTAGTTTTTGGCCTTTCTGTGTACGAGAAAAAAAGTGAAAGACCGGAAACCTAAATTGTTCTTGCAAAGATAAATAGTGTAGCATTGCATGGCCGCTTCTTTCACACGCAAAGTAAGTGGCACGGTGTGCGACGCATTCACGTAGAAATGTTAAGCTTAGTTAAGTCTTGAGTGAGACCCTTCGACACGTATACCTCACGCGGCCACGTTATGAATGTTCAATTTCTGTCCGAACAGCCGATTTGGCTTCTTGTGTTTGTTGTTTGTCTTAACAGAGCTCAACAATCAATTCATTGAATGCAAATGTCTTTCTGTTCACTATAATTAAGATTTTCATGCACCAGTAGAATGTGCACAACATTTTTACTATGGGCATTTTTCCTTACTTATTTGCTGAGGGACTTGTAAGCAATGTGTATGCAGTATTAGTTGCCAATTTGACAATAACCACCAATAACTGTGCTTATCTGGAATAAAAACAAATGTTCATTTCTGTTGAATAATGAAAGTTGAAATTATTGGCTTTGATTGTAAACCTACTTTAGGCCTATCTCAGAGTGCTACTGCTGTGTTGAACTAATTTGAATTTGGTTGGACATTTTGACTGATATTATTTAGATAGCAAGAAGATGATACTTTTGCAGTGGATTTTTTTACTATGGATAAGAGCTCCTTCATACAAATCACCCTTGAAGTGTAACAAACAGAATGGCTAATGGATCTAACACAAGATCACAAGAGTGCCATCAGACAAAGGTCCAACAGCTGTCAGTCAGTTTTTATTTCAGTTCTTAATTCAAGATTTTCATTTTTTTTTTTTATAAATGTGAACCCTTCAAGTAGTTGTTAGAAAGTGATCATTGTTCATAATATTGTGAAACGAGTTTTGCAGATGTAATTGTTTTCACTGGCTACCAGAAGATGAATACATCTTTGCAGTGAGTTTCCGAAAAATGAATGCATTTTGAAAACCCAGTAGTGAATACAATAACAAACTGAAACTGCCTCTCACATGCACTTTGCAACATTTGGACTGTGTGGCCTCTGCTGTCATAATTACCATTTTATACCTTATGAATGCAGCATTTAATTTGGTCATACTATACATAATTATCATCTGGGAACTACTTTCACTATTTGCAAAGGGATGCATTTCTTTCAAGCTGATTGAGAAGGTATAAAATCGAACATCTTAATTTGGGATCATCTTTTAAGCATTTTGTTTGTCCTTCAAGAAAGCAATTTTCAGAAGGAATGTTGGCACTGATATCAGACATGACTACACCAAATGAAAATACATCAGAAGCAAATGATGGTGGCTGGCCAAAAATAATTTCAGGAGCAATGTGTCTGTATTTTTTACGATAGTCATCCTGTTCATGTGCAATTAGACACTTCCTTTTGGAAGTAGCTTCAGATACTTCTATGGACTTGCCAAAATCAATGAGCATGGGATGAAATCCAGTGTGCATAGTTGTTAGGAGAATATTATCACTTTTGATATTTTGATGGAGAAGTTGTTTCATGTGAAGATGCTGTAGAGCTTGGCACAGTTCAAACATAATCTTTCCAGCAGAATATTTTGTGAAGGGTATGGTGGGACAGTATAATTTTGTATTGTACAAAGTACAAGTCTGAGTGTTAATATCATAGAAATAGGAAACTAGAAAGTAGGGATTTTGTGTTAAATTGACTCCAAAGATGTGAGGAAGAGATGGATGGGAATATCTTGCCATTACAACTGCTTCATGTTGGATATCCTTAGTAGAAGATAGGTTATTGTACTCCTTCACAGCTACTGGAATTCCCTTGTAATACTTTTTTTGACATCTGCCAAATACACCATGACCAAGTTGAACTGTGATGTCTTCATTGTCTTTGTCTTTTGGAGCCCTTAGCTGGCATCGAGAAAATTTCTGGTATATTTCTACCAGATATAATACCTTGTGGGGAAAAAAGCTGCAGATATGAAGTGAAGTTAATTTAAGTTTTTAAGCGACATTTTATAAAAAGAAATGTAAATTTTTACCATGACTACACCACTTTAGAGGACTATGGGTGTATTTTAAATTTTTCAAACCTCAAAAATTTGGTAGTATTACAATCCTGCAGCCATTTTGTGTTATTTTGAAAGACACATGTTCTTCTGGTGAAATGATGATTCACAACAAACTTTGATCCTTTAACAAAGTTTGGTTATTGTGTTGTGTTTATTCTGGCAGACAGTTCATCTGCAAATTACTAGCCATGATAA